GGCTGCTGAGGCTAACAAGCCCAAGGTCGACAAATAAAATGGCACAGTCCTGATGTTACCAAACCACACAGCAGGCCATTAATTCAAGTCTATTGCAAGTCCCACGGTCAGCAGAGCATGGCAGGCTGCTGAACAGTGACATGGCTATATGCAGGGTCCAAGTGTACCATAAGCTAGAGACCATTCCCAAAGCTGCTGCTTATATACAGGAAGCAGACCACATTCCCTAAAGCAGCTGCTCAGCTGCTCCCAGTAGATTCCACCATGGAGTTGATTACCAGTCTCATCACGGGGAATACTACATTCAGCTGCCCAGCCACTCACCCAGGCCCGGCCCAGCTGACACACAAACTGAATTACCACACTACCCCTTCCATTGACTCTCCATTTTCTGACCTCCATTGACTCTCCATTTTCTGGCCAACGCTCAGTCATATACCCTACACATACAGACACATAGTTTAAGATTCTAGAATTCATAGCAGATGCATATTTTTCATTAATCAGGCCATAATTCCATCTCACACATCTACTCATCAGGACTAGGGAGTAGAATGAACTCTCAATTCATCCCATAATCTGGATTCGTATCTCGTGAGCTAAGAATCGTATGTCTCCACTCTTTCCATGCCAACCCAACTCAGCTGCCAACATCATGTAAGCTACTACAGGATACCCTGGAGGAAAAATTGTTAAGCAAGCCAGACAAGATAATGAAATTTGGAAAAGGTCTTGAAAAAATTGTTTTATTATTATGCTGCTGCATGTACTACAGAAGATAAAATAAATAAATAAATAAGAAAATGGAAGAATGCTGGAATTTCCAAAAAAATGATGCAATAATGAAATACATTATGACTACAACATCTTTCAGTTTTCTTATTGCTTTGCCAAAGTATTGGAAATCTTTCAAGAACATAAAAAAAAAAAAAAAAAAAAGTGTATAGGCGTTCTGGTGGTGCAGTGCCTAAAGCATCTGACTGCTAACCAGAAAGCTGGTGGTTCAAATCCACCAGCTCCTCCATGGAAGGAAGATGAGGTGATCTACTTCCGTAAAGATTTACTGCCTTGAAAACCCAATGGGGGTCACTATAAGTTAGAATTGACTCAATGGCAGTGGGTTTTATAGAGACACCAACTTTGTACATTTTTTTTTTAATGTTATCATTGAATACATGAAGTTTCATTTTTTACCCAGAATGTTACAGAGAATACTCACCCACAATTACTAGACACATCGGAATATGAATACAAAGAGACAGATGGGCACTCCAGTCTCTTATGAAGGTGAAATTGGTCATATGAAAGAAATCTCAGACTCTGAGTCTTCAGATGACCCTACTGTGAAAGATTAATTTTCTCTAACTCAAGAATTAATGACTGACTCCTAAGACTGCAAGGTTGGTTCAATGTACTGAAAATTAATAAAGAGGGGGAAAGCCTACATGATCATATTAAAACTCTTTGCCATCAAGTCTATTCCAATTCACAGCAACCCTATAAGATAGAGTAGAACTGCCCCACAGGATTTCCAGGGCTGTAAATTTTTATGGAAGCAAACTTCCACATCTTTCTCCCATGGAGCAACTGATGGGTTCAAACTGCTGATCTTTCTGCTAGCAGTTGATCAATGCAAAAAAGCATCTGACAAAATTCAGCACTCTTTTATACACCCAGCAAACTAGGAAGAGAAGGAAAATTTCTCAACAAGATAAAGGGCTTTTACAAAACTCTACAACTAACAGCATATTCAATAGTGACAGGCTTAAAGCTTTCTCTCAAAGTTCAGGCACATGAATAACTGATTTCACCACTGTTATTCAACGTTGTACTGGTAACTCTAGCCAGAGCTATTAGGCAAGAAAAGGAAATAAAAGGCATCCAAATCAGAAAGGAAAAAGTAAATTACGTGGTAAGATGGCGGAACAGGCACACAAGATATACAGACCTTCTTCAACAAAGAAAAGAAAAAACACATGACAGAGATACAGAAGATAATCCTGGATCCATGAGACTTGAAAGGAAGTATACAGAAGTCGATTAGGCACCAACTAGTGGAAAAACCTGAATGAAAACAGTTGAGTACGGAGACAGATGGAACTGCGCACTGTCAGCTACTCTGATGGCATAAAAAGCCTGAACATTTCCAAGTGGTGTTGGGACCTGAGAATTGACCTACAGATCAGCCCTAGTCACCAAGGGCTGCAGGGACAACTGCACAGCGGCCTATGATTAGGAAGGGAAACAGCAAGGAAGAAGACAACCTGCGCTGTGGACT